CTTCGGTGTATAGGACGCAAGCAGATTTTGACATCAAATTTTGGGGTAATAAAGTGCGTCTTATATACCGAAAAATACGGTAGCTTCTTTATGTTAGCTCTCATAATTTCGGGTCTGGTCACATGGTCCAGCGACCTAGACTTCGGAAATAGTACCAGCCGTCTTCTTTTTGTATAATCAAAGCAGTCCAAACCTTTCTGGGGTGACTGTTCTTTTTTATCCACATCAAGATGTCGGACTGACAGGTGTTAAAAACAATTATGAAATGCTCGTGTGCTCGAAACAAACCCTATTCCTCTGCTTATTGCCTTCGTCAAATTTAATAATAAACACCATTAATAGATGCATCCACATTTATAATGTTGTTATAGAAATACAAAAGTGGAACATAAAACGATATGCAAAATATGTATCGTATTCACTTATAACTACTCTTTTTACATAATAATACAAAATCATATATTTCTACCATAGGAGGAAGATCACCACAAACTTCCAATAAAATGGTACTCGTCTTTTTAATAAATTAATGTTTAGAGACAACAAATGACCTATTGGTTCACCTAGACTGTCCCACCCTCTAAATTAAAACTATTAAATAATAATAAAACTTAAAGCCAGCCTTTTTAATTCATATAGTTATCAAGCTTTATGTTAAACTCACTTAAATTTACTGCCTTCACACTCGAAGGCAACCCATTCCAAAGGCCAACAACCCTGTTAGTAAAATAAAAGTGCTTTAGCTGTAGATGACTCTTACCCTCTTAATTTATATCTGTGTCCCCTAGTTCTCACCGTTATGTATGAAAAAAGATGATGCATCAATACTATCAATTCCCTTTACAATCTTAAACACTTCAATCAGATCCGTCTAACTCTTTATTTCCAAGGGGAAAAAATCTGAGATCTTAACCTCTTCTCGTGTGACAACCCCTCCATCGCAGGCACCATTCTAGTAGTCCTCCTCTGAACCCTTACCAACAATTCAATGTCATTCCTAAGGTAAGGAGCCCAAGACTGAACACAATACTCCAAATGTGGCTTAACTAGTGAAATTATAGCTTCTTTAGACTTGTATTCAATATTTCTGTAGATACGATCTAAAATCCTATTTGCCCTACAACCATAAAAGTAAATACAGACTAATGTTTAATTATATGGCTCACAATTTAAGAATACCATATGAGTAATTATCTTCACAGCTGCAGAAAACTGACAACGGAAGAGAGGCAGTTTATATGAAAAAGATTACCATTTCAAAGGACTTTCTTACAAGAACGCTTCTCTTGGTGAGTCAAAAATCCTGTATTTGATTCCCCACAGATAGCGTACTATATAGCTTGGCACTAAGAAAATAACTACTACAAGAATGAAAATTTTTCATTAAGTTTTCCATATATTCTTTCATATATAAATATTATATTTTTAATTAAATTATTTTAAAAGAATATCGAAAAATTGTAAAACATATAACCGTACTATTTTTCTTATTTTATGAAAAATTATGCGTTTGTTATTTAATCATACATTTATTTAATGTTATTGTCTTGTTTTTACACAATAACTTAATTGTACATTTTACTTAAATTACTCATTTTACCAAGAGCAATGTTATTAATATTTTGACTGTTTAAAAGATAAAGTACCAAATTTATTACACATCCAATTCTCCATATAACTTTTGCCATAGTTAGTACTGTACTGATTAACGTTTGCCTCTATCAGTATCTGCCAAAGGTGGTCAATAATTCAATATCATGGACAAGCGTCTTATTTATTGTAATTGTATACAACATACTTTTCACATTTACTAAAAGATTGCCAATTTTTCTGAAGATACGCGTAGTAAATTCGGAGTTATAGTAATTGTTCATTCTCCAATACGGGCTCGGTCCATTGCGCGAGCAACACTGATAATGGTGGACGTGATACTCGCAATTTTAGGCTTACAGATTTGTAGAGACCGTATAACCAATTTAAAACAAAAAGAAATTACCGAGAAACGGCTTAAATAAATCAAACAGAATAACGAAAATGATAAAGTTCGCAAACTATCTAAAACACCAATAGTTGACGATACAATCAGCAATTGTTATCAGTTCTAAAATTTACCATCGATGCATTGCTGTCGGACGTTCATAATCGCAATCTGTCGATACTTTGACGTATCGTTACTCTCCTAGATATGGTTTGCTTTCATCATCTGTGTGGAAAAACAGCCATTTTCACAGTGTGCAACCAAAAAATTATGCGCATTTTACGTGGATACCCTAGTTATCTGGAGCACATCAATTGCCTAGTAAGCGAATACCATAAACTACATTATTTTATTTTTGAACATCTGAACGTATCTTTATTTAAGTAAACTTCCAACTCTTACCGTGTTCGTCATGAAGAAATAGTTAAAACACATTTGTTTACAACAACGTTTATTAAACAGAACACAGTATAAAACAAGAGCAACTGTTCGAGGATAGTGTGTTGAATTGATAAAAAACAGTAAAGAAACTTCAATATATTTCTCTTACCAGTTCAGTGTGACCTCCTCCTGTAAGTTACATCATAATGAAATTAAAATGTAAAATAAAGCAACCGAAATAAGATCATTATTAAATTAAATACAAGTTAAACTTTACAAGCTCACAAGATTATAGAACTAGCTTCGGCTATCTTAAAACAATATCAAAACTTTAAGAGTAAGTCTTACTTAATATGGGTAACTTGGCTTTAAATACAACACCATCAAGAAAGCC